GGGCGAGGCTCTGCCGCGCAATGTGTTTCTCATATTGGCGGGCAGAGCAGACCCCTCTCTGCATGCTTTCTACGCCGGCCAGAGACAACAGGCCCGTCAAGCTGCCCCCAACGCCCCCCACTCCCCTCTCCTCGTCTTTCTGCTCGCATGTTTTATTGCCGCCCCAGATTTCCCTCATGCAATGGCCATTATTTTTCCTCCCTCCCCCCTCACCCGACTTCTTTGTCTTGTACATTTCTTCACTCTGGTTCCTCCCCAGCTTCTTGGCCCGTCTCTCCCTTTTCTCCCTGCCTCATTTCCTCTGCGCTCTCGAAGGTTCCTTAGGTTCTTTCCCACTCGCGGTCCACCTCCCTTTTCCCTTCCTTGACGCGTTCCATCCTACCATATCCATCCGTCTCCCCTCTTATAGCTCGGGGTGGCAAAAGTACACTTATGTTGAAGTACAGATACTTGTGCAAAAGAGAATTCAGGAAAGGGGAGAAGTACTAATAATTTAACTGTTTCACTAAACTAAGTTTTTTTTTTAAATTATAGATATACTTTTTTTTTTTTTTTTGAGCAACCACTACAGCTCTAACAAAGTGCTGTCCAAAAAAAAAAAAAAAACCACAAAAGACCATCATTAAAATGACAGTACAATAATAAATAAGTACATTATTTATTTTCAGATTATTTTACGTAGTGTGTGTGAAGCTTTTGGTCGATGAGCGAGAGAAGCAAGATGAAAGTCCCCAACAACAAGTAGTATTAGGGCACCGGGATTACGAAATTGTCATCTTGCAACCAGGGTTTGCCACGAGCTCAGTTTTAATGTAAACCAACAACTGCACTTTAGGCTTGGTTCAATTCTCGGTCCGGCATGATGCAAAAAGTGTCAAATAAGGAGCTGTTGTAAACAGGCTGCCAGTGAAGGCGGCGCCTAAACTCGATGCCAAAAATGCTGCAAATAGTCCAAAATGCGTTGGTGAGATGCACAAGGAACAAGAAATGACAAAGAAAGGTGGAAATGTTTGAAAATTAGCTGAGCTGTTGTAAGTGACTGCCAACTCACAGGTACCTCTTTCAAGTGGGCCCCTTTTGGGGGAAAAAAAGGAAAGAGTCAATGGAGGAAGAGAGTCGTAGGGTTCACGGGAGTACTGGGAGGGAGAGGGAAGTCCAAAATGTTTGACCAGTGCATCTTTAAAAAATAATAATATAGATGCAAGCACACCTGCATAGCCATTGAACACATTAAATGCAGCGCAATTCAAGGAAGTGTTTGCTCTGTGTGTTAGTCACACGTCCTCCAACTCCCATCCAAGACTACCTCATCAACAGCTGTACCACAGCGGCCTTTTGGAAGCCCCCCTCTTAAAAGTTAGGGGGGTGGGCTTCATTCTTGGAGAAATGTTGTGCGTTGGAGCCCGAATCTGAGTAATGGCTTTCACATGTGGAACCAGCATCTTTTTTTTTTTTCCTCCTGTTCTCGTTCGTTGCCAGCTTGGGCTCTTGTGTTCCTTGACTTCCACGCCGTCTGCTTCTCCTCACATCTCAGAACGCTCCTCCATTATTAGCCTTTTTCACACAGAGATCCCGCGCAATTGCAGCATCAGCGCTGTTAACAGCAGATAAGGCCTTATACGTGGAAATGAGCAGGAAGGAATATTGCCACAGTTGCGTGCGCTTTTACAATAAGATGTGATTTTTGGCTATCTCAGTGCCAGCATTTTGGTGGCACTAAATAATGGCTGGGGTGTTTGACTGAAATGCATATGGGCTAGGAAGCATTTATTCATACTACCACCATATTTCAAATACGGTCTTCTCCCGCACTTTCGTCATTTGTTCGATACAAATTCGTGTATTTTCAGTTTTTTGGGGGCTAGGCTATCTTCTTTTATTTGCTCAAAATAAAACTCAATTTGCGGCTCAAGCCAAAACCATGTCTTTATATAAAACAAAAAAATACTGCTTTGGCACCATCTGGTGGAGTCTTGGTGCCAGGCAACTATGTTGAACTGAGAGGAGGAGCTTAATTTAATCGTGCCATAGCCTTGTCTAATAGAAAAGTAATTGCTTGTCTGTATGAGTTTCAAATTCTTATGGCCGCAACTTCAATGATAGATGAGGCTACAATCTCTCATCAGTGCTACTGGGGGGCCACATACTGTAGGACTACACACTTCCTAACCGGCAATGTCTGCCGTCTTGGGGTGAATGGTATTATAACTTTAAACAATGCGGTGGACCCCCGCTATTCATGCGGGATCGGAACTGAGCCACTGAATAGCGAAAATCTGCATATAATTGACACGCTAAATACATATTTTTGTCAAACCAAAGAAGTCTTCAAAAGAAACGCTGATGAAGCTCGATTATGCGTTTTTCCATTTTTCAAAAAAACAGGTTGAATTGTTTTTTCTTTTTTTTTTTAACAAATAAGTGAATCTGCAGGTGCCGAAAAGAAAGTACGCTGCAGCCCACTGTCGTAGAGGAAATTGAACCCCCCCCCCCCAAATTAATTTTTTGAGGGGCCCCCCCATTGTG